AGCCAACCGCTCAAGAGAGTCATTCCTGATTTTGGGGACACCAGCTTGAATTGAATGTGCAGAAACAGAACAACACAACAAAACAAGGCTCAAGGCAACGGGCAGATTTCCAGGGCCGAGGATCTCTTGATCACCGGGCTGCACGACGTGACACGTCCCATATGGTTGTTAATCTTGTGCCTCAGACATGAAGATCTTCAAGGGTCACACGAAGCACCACAGAATGAGCTGATTACATTCTCGCCGAGCTACAACTCATCGCGTATGAGGTTCACAGATCCGCCGCAGTGGCACATGTATTCATACGTCGCGTAAAGTGCACTCCCTTGGTCGGGGCACAGGACTAGTCGCAATCCTTCGGCCACGGTGTCCCAACGGGCGTCGCCCGTCGACTTGTTGATCACGTAGCCATACAGCATATCACCGACACAGTGCAGTCGGCGCTCTTCGCTGTCAGCATCTATGGGGGCACAACGGGAGCTTGGAAACACCTCGGCCAAATCGAGGCCGATGTGCGACAACACATTGGCCACTGATTTCAGCTCCTGCTTCGCAGCCAGCCGATCTTCCCTGAGGGAGCTGAGTGCCTTCGGCTGAGTCACCATGGTGAGTTATCCGTGATTTCGGAATTTCGTGCTAAGGGCAAGAAATACATTCAATCGTGCATAAGTATAGGTTAGGGACAGCTTCTTTCTTTCTTGTTTGGTTGTGTACTCGGCAAGCATTGCTTTCGTGTGGCTCTCGGCCACCAAGCTTGCTGCTCCCAGCTTCTGCGATGCCGTAGCAGTACTGGGCAGCAATGTCGACAGTCGCTGCAAAGTTCCCACACACAGGCAATCCGGAAGCCCGAACACTGGAAGCCACACCTTAGTCTCCCCGTGAACACAATATGTAGTCCCAATGCAAGCTGGAGGGCCACCCCGATTTGCAGCCTAGGCTCATCGTGCTTCGCTTTGGGGCTAGCGTCGCATATCAATGCGATGGACTTGTGCTGCAGGTCCGCGAGAACCTGGATGCAAACAGAAGCGAGGGTTGCGGGCTTGTTGGAAGCTTCGGTTTCGGTAACCTTCTCCGTCTTGTGCTGTATCTTGACAAGATAGCGGTGCACGAAGTCGGCCGTCGTCCTGATATCATGTGTTGCACACGGAGGATTTTGATGCTAGTTGCGGTCATTTCAACAGGTTCATAAGATTATTCAGTCCTGTTGTAATGCGTGGGGCATAGAGCATCGAGCCCGACCTCCTTCAAACTTGCGTCTGCCTGGCTGCTGCAGAAGCCACCACCACGTGACAAGAAGCGGGCTATTGCCAGCTCCGACTTCGGCTTGCTTTCCAGCTTCAGGCGTCTGCCATCCCTGGTCGCAATGGAACACCAGCTTTCAGCCAAAGCCAAGAGCCCTCCCACTCCCCCACCCGCCCCCCGCCCAGAAGAATTGCAGCTCAGGAGCTTGGTCGCCGGATGGAATGCGTGTTCTGCGGAGAGGGGCGGCAGCACATTGGTTGTCAATTTCTCCACCGAAAGCTCAGCAGCTTGACTCAAGAGATGTATCGCCCGTCGTTGCAGTCGACCACATGCGTGCTTCTCCTGGACTGCAAGCTGCAGGAGTCGGTTTTGGGATTTAGTATTAGGACTGCTGTCGCTGCCAAGTGGCATCGAAAGAATCCGCGTGGGGCAGCCGAAGCAGGAACCACACGACCAGGGGCAGGCGAAGGCCTAGGATTTGGGGGTTCCGGGGTTTGGGTTGTTCTGTGGCTTAGAATTAGAGAGGACAGTTTCACAACGGGCAGGCCTGTGTCCACTGACTGCTCTTCCTTCGAGAGGATCTTGCACTGCTGCCACCTTTGCGGGATTTCTGCGTTGTTGTTGATGTTCAGGGCATGATAGCAGACCCCAGTCAGTACAAAATGTCCTTTCGGGCCTCTGCGTGAGATTCCCATACTCCAAGAAATCATTCCAGGCGGCCAGAGACACATAGCCATTCTGGACTGGAAGCAAACCTGAGATAAAACCCGAGTACAGATGTCGCGTCAGAAACCAGCGACAGCAGCATCAGCAGCAGCAGCAGCATCTTGAGAATCTAAGGTGCTAGGAACTTTAGCCCGGCGACATGCTTCGTTCTTGGCGAGCAAAGCTAGTTCCAGGCTTCCCACAACAGTGGTTCCCAAGATGACATCCAAGGTCTTCAAGGCAGCTGTTTGTATCTCTGGCTTGCAGCCTCGGCCCTGCAAGACGTACGAGGCCTGTTTCGAGACTGCAAATCAGTTCAACATACTTCTTTCGGGACGACAAGTCAGCACGAAGATCTTGCAGACAAGTCACGAGGAAAATCGCCCCCGGAAAGGTAACCCCGTCGAAGGGCAGGCGGATGCGATCAGGGCTTTTGTTGGAGTTCTGCCCCCGATATGAAGTTTTCCTTATGCAGTGGACGTTGATGAAGTCAACTTTCCAAGCCTCAGCAATATCCATCGCGAGTCCCTCTTGCCTTAGATCAGAGAATGTGGCTAGAGTTGGGACAGTAAGGGTTTCGGGTAGGGAGCAAGCAGAACCTAGGCCAAGATCGATTGCAGACTGGACACAGTTTGGAGAAGCAGTTGTGGAAAAATTGAGATCGCTTGGTCAGCGACCACAGCTCTTCTGCTCGGAAGAGCACTCTGTAACCCTGGACGTGCTGATCCACCACCTTTTGCACGTGGGTTCCAGCATGATTCTTTCTGATTCATTAAATTGACATTGAATGAAACATGCTTCGTTGCAATGCGAAAACCCAGCTTGCCCAACGTCTGTGCCTTGTGGAGCTGCAGCACTCCCTTCACGGCTTTGTTGCAGGACAAGTAGACGGTCTCGTACTTGCTGTAGTCTTGCCCAGGACTACAACTGCTATCCGAAGCCGCTGCCTCCGCCTGGGCGCCGTCTAGGCTTTCTTCAGCGGGAGCAGCACGGCCGAAGAGTCTTGGACGAAATCTGAGGCCGAGAGAAGTTGCCGTTGCACGAAGGCTGTGCAATGCATCCTGCCAGACAGCACACTAATGTCGCAGCACAACAGAGGCCAGCCTTGACAAGTCTTAAGATGTAAAGCATGATGCTGTATCTAAGCGGGGGCCTCCCAAGCTTCTTGCGTCACATCCAACATACCGATGGGCCTGCCGTTCTGGAAGCAGGTGTCGACATATTCTATTTTTTGAGGATGTTCTTCAGCAGCTCATCTCTCTCTGTTGTATCCACAAGCCTTAGATTTGGCTTTAGGCTAACTTGGCCACACTGAGTGAGCACGGTCACAATCGAGCGAGCACGTTGCAATCGAGCGAGCACGTTCGGGCCCGGGGACCCGGAGAACTGCGGCCAAGGATCTCTCGCAGCTTCTGTAGCCGCCCTTCTAGCCAAGGGCGGGCTGCCATGGTCGCCTTGGATGCTCGCTCGCGGCGTCGGTGCTGGCTTGTTCTGCGGGTTGCGACACTGGGTGACAGCAAAAGTCGAGCGAGCACGCATTCCAGCAAACGGCTGGCAAACGAGCGAGCATGCACGATTCCCATGTGTTTGTCCATTTAACCGCGGTTTGGGCCGTCTAACAGAAATGCATGCTCGCTCGCATTTTGGTGCCCGCCAGGTGCGTGCACTGGGCAAAAGAATCGCGTTAGACGAGCACGGTGGGTTTCAGCGAGCACGTAGGCTCTGAGCGGGCACGTTGTGCTCGAGCGAGCACGTTCGGGTCCAGCGAGCACCCAGCAGCACGACCCAGCACCATCACTTTTACAAAAAGGACTAGATTATGCAAAAGACATCGACTTTACCTTCTAATCTCTCTTCCAGGAATCCGGCCGAATCCCCGGCCCGGCCCGCCCGGCCCCGTCCCCACCCTCCCACCCCCACTCTGTACTCCCAGCCCCCTCAAGGCCCCGGCTACGAATCCCCACCCCGGCTCCCCCCCAGCCCTTTCCCCTTGTGCAACTGAGGAGCAGCAGGGCCAGCTGGGCACCAAAGGCGAAACCACGGCAGCAAAAGCGATTTGGAAGGGCTCCGTTAGTAGGGTTTCGGGACAATGCCGGGCAGTTTCATTTACTGGGGGCTTTTCTAGTCTAAGATTGCGGGTCCAGCTTGCATTGTTTCAGGAGGCTGGGTCACTTCGTGCCAAGCTGAGGCTTGGGTTTGCGTGTAAGTTGGTTGAAAGGCTCAGGCGTGTTTCGGGAACGTACGGTCTAGTCCAGGACTAAATATTGGTTTATTATACATTGCTAGCCTAGGCCGAGCTGAACGTATTCTAGCAGCACAGCAGAAGCTCCACAGCGAAATCAGGAGCTTTCTTCCTATTAGCCTATTAATAATTTAGTCAGTGCTCAACCACCTAATTTAAGCTGGGGCTGAGGGTTTAGGCGGTCTAGGGATTCACAAGGGCCCTTCCTTCGGTCTATTTAATTTAATCATCTAATTCAGACTACAGTAAGTAAGGCATGAGCTTAGAAACGTAGACATAGAGTCGGCGTGTAGGTATGCCAGAACAGTTTAAGTAAGGAAGGATCAATACATGCAACTGAGGCACCTAATTGCATGCATTTATGTTCCTCCTAAGGTCCTATGTATGCATATATATTTATATATGTAGGTAACGTGTGTTTCTGGGTTTGTATGTAGGTAGATATGAGTGTATGTGTGTGTGTGTGTGCATCTTTTTATATGTAGCACATGTCATGTGTATAGCTTGTCTTCATGTACACATACATCTCATCAGGAGCCGTGACCTCGCAACAAATAAGAAGGGTTCAATCTCAGCAAGAATGTAGCACACGAAGCAAGCTTCTGACTTTCCGACAGCAAGGAACAAAACTCCCAGACCCGTGTTTTTGCAGCACCCCGTTGCAATCACTGATCAAACAGTCTCGGAGCCTGCAAGGCGGATGCCAAGATGGCAAAACGTCTGTCTAGATGATCCTCGGTGCTTTCCCCTGTAAACAGCAGCCCTGAACCTTAACCTGGCCCTGGCTTTCAAAACCCGCAGAATTCATCCATCACACCGGGAATCGGCCACTCAGGTGGTTGGCTTCGCAGCAGCTGTGCGGCGGCCCGGTGTCGACAACGGTTCCGGTTCCTCGGAGCTGGTACAGGCTGCAAGCTTTCGAGACAGTTTCGGGGTGAAGGCACAACGAATGCTGCCGGCATGCGGAAGCACGGGTAATCACACCGGGCAGTTTCTCGGCCCAGGAATCAAAGAGCTTTCGGGCCCTCAAAGACATCTTTGCAAAGTGGGGCTTGCCCACTCCCAGGTGGTTCGAAAGGCAACCTCCGAAAGGCAACCTACGTCCCTACAAAGAAGCAACAAGAACGGCTTCACATGTCAAGCTTACGTAGCCCGCCTTCGAGCCCGAGTTCGAAATGATTCATCTCGAGCAAGCCCTCCTTCTCCAGGCAGGCAACCCAATATCCAACATCGGCCCTTAAATTCAGTATCATTCGGATGAGGCAGAAACGGGCCAACTCACTGTGATTCACAAACCACACGGCAGCCGAGACACTGGGAGAGATCCGTGGGCAAAGTGTCCAGGACCTCACGGCTAATCTTCTCAAGGCTGGCCTGCATTTTGGCCGGGAGCTTCGGCAAGGCGCTCTCCCCGGAACCCTTAGGCACGGCGAAGTCCCCCTTGAAAACGTCCTCGTCGTCCGACGGCTCCCCATCCGGCTCCCCATCCGGCTCCCCCTCGGAGCTGGCATACGGTGCAGCCTCTGGGCTGGCTTCCTCCCTGTCTTTCTCATTCTCAGAATGATCAGGGTCAGCTTCCTCCTGCTTGTCTTTGTGCCCGGTGCCACGAACAGGCTTGGGGTTCTTGCGGTCCGTCTGCTTCATGTGGTTCTTCAGGTCCACCGAGGCTGCCTGTGCGGCAGACATAGAATTGAATGCTAAAGTCCATTAATCTCAGAAACAGCAACAGACCTGTAACCCCAACAGGACAAGCACACCTCGCGGGCATCCTTCATGATAGTGTCCAGTGCCTTCATCCAGGCAGCTTTGCCCCCATCACACTTCCTCAGATAACTCTTGTGTAAAAGCAGTGCATGCTTTACTTGATTGAGCTATTTCTTACTGAGGCTCTTCATCTGCCTCTTGCACAAGTTGCGGAGCACGGCCGAGCAATCGAAGAGGGTCTTGGCGGCACAAAGCCGCACGGAGGTTGCCGGGCGGCCGGTAACTGCAGCAAGGCTGTTAGGACTTAGGAGACCGAAGGTAGGGGTCGCAGCAGCTAGGTGATTCTGCTGTTTGTTTGTCGTTGTCGTGTCTGCCCTCACAGGCAACATGTGTATGGTCCTTGAGGCTCGAGGCCAGTGAAATAGACTAGCAGCACCCTTCTGAGCTACTCCTGGCCTAGCTGCACATTATACTAACGATACAATGAACCACCTATTCCGACAAAGTCCAATAGAGTGTTTGCGAACATTTCACGACACAACACAACACTCCCTGCCACCCCTCTGCCATCGAAAAGACGTGAAGGTTTGCAGCCCGTGCTAAGTCATCCAACGACAGATATGCGAGCCAAGGCACGATGGTGGGCCAAATCGGCCATTCTGCGCTTCCACATCGTGCCGGCGGCTTTCATCTGGGAATGAAGAAGCTGGGCTTATCGTAGCGAGGTTCAATATAGTCCTGAATAGTACAACAGACTTGAATCGAAAGGAATGCTGTGTTTTCCGGGCTCACTTGGGGCTGGGGCTGTCTTGACTTGTACAGGAAGGGCTCTTGCGGGATACTTACATGCTGTGTTACAGAAAGAACCATCAGTGTAAGCTAAGTATCAAACCCAAACACCTACCAACCAGCACCTTACCTCGTAGAACCCTAATGTCCCCACCGCGACCCTTGATGGCCTAGCACCTAGAACATGTTCTAGCGAGTGCCTACCACCAGGATAATTTCGAGAACAAAAGAACCAGCCTGTTTGGGCAATTACGATCGCACTTTTAATTCCCGACTACCCCAAACAATGCACCTGAAAAACGGCGTCCGTGTGGTCTTTCTTGGCCCTGTTCTTCTTCGCCGTCAAAGCTTTGTCTCGCAACAACGACTCCTGAGGATTGCAGGGGCAATTGAATCAGGGAAGTAAAAGTTGTCGGCCCAAATGAACCTAAAAGCCTTCAGATAAGACTCGAGTTCTCCACCCATTTCGAAGACATCATTGGCTATGACCAGCGGGGTTACCGAAGACAGCACCAAGCCCAGCGGCCTAGGTTCCAGCTCCGACAACGTGGCAATCTCCATGCTGCGGGTCATCTCCTTCTTCGACAAGCCGAAGGTCGCGGAGGAGTCCTCGAAACCATCCACAGAGGGCTGTGAAGGGCAGCTGGCCTCCGACGAAGACGAGTCTTTGGAGCTGCCTCGGATTTAGGTCATAGCACGAGTCCTCAACATAAGCCATTGAATAGGAGTGCAACACTGATGCAGTGAGTTGCTGGACTTCTTGCTCTTCTTTTTGCCCTTCTTCTTGTCCTTCTTCTTCTCGGTTTTTTTCTTCTTCTCCTTGTCACCAGCATCCAGTCCTTGGGTGCAGCAGATAGCAGTGTGGCTGTGTGGATAACTACAGATGTACCTGCCTTACTGTAGCACATGCAAAGACCATGCGGAAATTTCGCAAGCAAGGGTGGGTAGGTGCGTGGGCGGGTGCATGGGCAGAAGCAGGGGCGGGCGTGGGTGGGCGGGCAGGCGAATGCCTGGGTGGCCGGGTGGGTATGGGTGAGAGAGGAAAATGGGTCAGAGCGAGTGGTAGTTTCTGCATGAGAGGCAGCGAGAGTTAGTGAGAGGATGAGAATGTGTGAGAGTGAGTGAGGCTGTGTGACACTGAGTGAGAGCGAGCGAGAACGAATCAGAGAGTGAATGAGAAGCAGAAGGAGTGACCGTGACAGTGAGAGGTGAGAGTGCGAGTGAGTGTGAATGAGCGAGGGCGAAGGGAGTGAGTCAGAGTGAGTGAGAGCGAGTGGGATTGAATGCGTGAGAGTGAGTGAAATTGGGTGGGGGGTATTTGAGAATTCGTGAGAGTGAGGGAGAATGAATGAGAACAAGTCACGTTGAGAATGCCTGAGACAGAGTGAAAATGCGTGACCAGTGAATGAGAACGACTGAAGGCAGAGAAAGAGAGTGTGTGAGAGTAAAACAGAGCAAGAGTCTGAGGAACATAAAGGGAGGCCACGGATAGATAGATAGATAAGACAGATAGATCGATATGTGTATCGGTGTGTGTGTGTGTGTGTGTGTGCGGGCCGCCACGAATAATATGAGATCTCTGCACTTCCCACAGTCAGCGAAAACAAGGATTGTAGCCCCAGAAGACAACCCAACGTGACACCGAGATTCCGAAAGCTTCGTCCAAACTCCGCTTGGCCGTATCCAGGAGGAAGCTTCGTGGATTGGGTTGCGGCGTCTCTGCCTCCACGGATGCCAAGCTCTTCGTAGAGAGAGCCCTGCCCGCATAGTTGGTCAGGTGTTGATTTGGGTGATGGATAGGGAGCTAATCCAGAGTGTGGCTCGCGGCTTGATGCAACGGATCCTGTACTACAACTATAATAATATTTCTGACATCCAGGAATTCCTAGGCCAAAAGCCCCAGAGCATAGAGTAGCCTTGGGTCAATTCGCGATAAATAATATACCACCTAGTCACAGCCGAACTGACTCTGACAGAGAAATAATCAATATAGACTAAAGTCGTAAAACTAGGAGACTCAAGTTGTACAGCTCGGTAATTGGGTTCAGGGCTGGGGCTTTTATAATTTTAATGGCTTCGTACCACTCAGCAAAGTCAGGTGGCCCTGGTGCAGAAAAACCGCCAATGCATGCCAGCATCCCCGAAAACCCAGGGTTGCTAATAAAGCTGCTGTGTTTCCAATGACCTCTGAAACCTGGGCCCCATGAATGCAAGCTTTGCAATTGCAATGAAGACCTCTGGTTCGGAGAGACTGCGAGTTTTCCGCCGGGTTTCGCTGATTCACTTTGGGTGTTCAGGAACTCAACAGGTCCTACCTCCGCCCGAAAGAGCAACCCAGTTTATTTATTTCAAACCAACCTCCCGGTTTCCAAAGGCTCGGGTCCCCAAAACACTCGGCGTGAGAGCCCCAACCAACGGAAGCAGCCGTCCTCCTCAGGTTTTTGGCAGGGTCCGCCTTCTTCATCGCCGGCAGCTCGCAAGCACGGGGGCAGCCAAGGATCTAAATAAGCGGGGCCACCCTCTTGTGAGAGAAGGCAAACAGCATACATATCGCAGGTAACAACACGGCTCCAGTCTGTTGCACCCAAACTCAAGGCAGCACGAGCTATCGACTTCCTGTTTTGCCCGTCTAAGGACCTCGCTCGCAGCCACTGCGGATGAGGGCTTTGCCGTGAAGTATAAGACTTTAAGACTCTAGTTTATGAATGTCAGTGGAGTTTTCCACATCAAGCAGAAACCCTGTACTGCAGTACTCTAGTAGTTAGTCTATAGCACTCACCCATCCACGAGCCCGACCCCTGTGCATCGAATTTGTTATGTGCACTCCCGGTGCTTTCAGCGGCTACTGTGTAAGGTTGGTGGGCTTATTGTTGTTG